AGGATAATACTAAGACCATCACTGATATTTTACAATTTCATAACTTGCATTTTCTTTTTCAGCCAATGCATAATGCAAATGTAGAGAATTTTGCATCGCTGAGGAACGACAACGTGATCAAGTTGACGTCCATCCTCCACTTGACGCATGTCCAGGATGTGGACTCGGGCAGCTACCAGTGCATTGTTACCAACCAGTTTGGATCTGTCTTCTCCAAGAAGGCCAGAGTTAATGTATATGGTAGGTTTCAGCATGTGTTTTGGATTGGAGCTAGTAACTATTATTTGACATATGTATTGTATATATGCTTAGTTTGGGAGGAGGGAAGAATTCATTGAGCTTGTGAATGGTTGATTTTCAAAAAGGTTTATCATTTTGGCCAATGAGAAGTGATTTATTTTTTTAACATCTGAACATGGAGACAATGAAAAACCTATTTCACCATATAAGCATATAGTTGTTTCTACGTGTTGTGCCTAAGATTGAAACTGGGACATCTGTATTGATTGAAATTTGTCTGAGATCTCAGGACGTGAGTGAGTGGGTGTGTTTGTTTGTGTGTCTTGGAGACATACTCTGTTATTCGTATCCAGTCTGTGTGTAACAATTGGAGCAGACGGCAGACAGACATTATCAATACAGTTCAATAGGGGTCAGCACTCCCAAGATAAGCCACACAGACTTTGAGGGGTTTGCTGTGAAGTTTTGCTCTGTGTGTGCCTAGATAAATAACTTACTACCTTTATCTGCTACAATTACTTCCACCGATACTGCCTGGTGCACCTGTATGCAAGGGTTGTGTAATAGTCTCTTTTTCTCTTCCAATTGAGGTCGNAGGAGATATCGAGCTCTTTTCAGTGCTGCCCCTTGCTGGTAGAGATATTGTTATCCTAGGCTGGCATTTTAGACTTGGGCGTTCATATAAAGAAGCTACTGCCTAAATTCACTGCCCCCCCCCCCTCCTCCTTTGCCCCCTCTCTGAAGCAGTGATTAGAACTTGAGCTACAGGTGCCCTGGTTGCTGTTCTATTGTATAACCTGGCTGTTATTGATAACTGTTATAAAGTTTGTGGGGAAACGGTCTGATTATCACAAAGGCAAAGGGGACAGTGATCTAATGAGAGTTGCATACACACACTGGGTGAATACAGATATGGCCTTTGGTTTGTGAACATGATACGGCAGGAATTAGTCTACTTGTTTTAGGGTGCATTCCCAGAGATTTAGATCGATCCACAGATTTAGATTTAGATCGACCTAACTCCCTGGGGGTTCACGCTAAATTGCAATCAGTCAGTGCACCATAGTAAAATACCCCCTTACAGCTTTTAGTAGACGGGACAGACACTTAAGCTGGCTAAGCTGATAGTAATCTAGTGAGACTCCTCACAGGGATAGATTGATCTAAAATCTATGGGAATGAGGTCTTAAACTCATCCTTAACAGATAACTGTAATGTTAAATATGCAAAAACTGCATTAAAAACATTGTTATATATATGTTAAGAAGTTTTCTGGATATTAATTGAATTTTGAATAAATTTTACATTATATAGTTTGGAAATTTTTGATGATTATGAAAAAGAAGTATATATTCATGTTTTATTTTTTCCAGATCCCTGTCCCATAATGCCATATCAAACATCAGCAAAGGCTCATGGGAATGCTGCCCTATGTTACAACAGCTGTAAGTCCACTTCAACTTCAAAACACCAACTTTTCCAACTTTTTCTTCCACCTGATCAAAGAACTAAACTTTATAACTAAACATGGATTATGATAAAGAGCACCATAACAAGTCAAACTTTTTTCTGTATAGTATTTTCCCAGTAATAGTGAAAATTATTCATGTAAAAAGTTATTCAGGATAGTCATTAAGGTTATAATATCTGGCCTTGCAGTGACCTGTCCAGTAACAGACTGACCACAATCGTAGAGGACAGCACTTTCCACCTCCTGCCGTTACTACGCGTTCTTACGTTGACCAATAACCAGATCTCGTACATTGCGGGAGGTGCCTTCAGGAGCATGGGCAATCTGGAAGTATTGTAAGTATCTCAGGGTAGTCGTGCAGCTATCAGCTATTGAAAATGTGAGATAGTATCTGAAGGGACTTGAATTAAGAAAAAATAATTATCAGAATTGCATAGGTTTCAGCCCATTCAGGCATGATTTCTGTTACTGCTGTAATTTTAAATTGTTAATTTTTTATCGTGCCAGGTGTTCTTTGATAAGTAGATTATTTCAAAGGAAATGAATACACGTTTGAAAATGTAATCACCAAAATTTCGATTTTCAGAGAGTTGGCTGGCAATGAGATATCCTGGACTATTGACATGAATGCAGCATTTGAAGGTTTGACCAGTTTACTGCGGTTAGATCTAAACAATAATCACATCAAGTCCATCTCTACTACCTCCTTCAGCGGCCTGGTACAGCTGCGCCATCTACAGTTGGTTAACAACAACATCACCTCCATACAGGAAGATGCATTTGCTGATCTTGTGAGCTTGGAACAGATGTAAGTTTTCAATCATATTTGTTTGTGCGTGCGTGTGTGTGTGTGTGAGAGAGAGAGAGAGAGAGAGAGAGAGAGAAGAGCTCCACCATCATCTTTAGGTTAAACACTAAACAGATCAAATGTTTTGTCCATCCCTTCAAAATTTGAACCTTCAGAGTCTAAAAGATGATTAAAAAAACACAACTATCTCCTGAAAAACAATAGAAAAAATACAAACAGGAAAGTTCAAGGAGAACTTCATTGTTGGGCATAAACAGTGATTCTCTGTTTACAGTACTCCAAACGTAAAGTACATTGAGTCTTCATGTCTTCTTTTTTATTTGGACAGTGATCAAGAAAGCACTCTATTAAAGGTACATAANCTTGTTTTTAAATTTCAGACAAAGAAAAGAACAACAAAAAACATGTATGCACAGTAATGGAGGATGTCAGAAACATTTGGCACATTTTCCAAGTGACCATATATAACATACAGAGTGACATTTCTTCCTACTGCTTCATTCCTGAGACATGGCTAACAGACAAGTATTAGCAGGAAGAGAGAGTCTTAATCTCTTACATAGGCTACAGTTGTCTCCACAGTCCAAGACACCAGACACTGTGCTGGAGTGGACTGAGCTTCATATAGACTCTGTTGGTATAGACAACCTACCAGATTCCATTGACAGGTGTAAAAATGTTAAGGCGATATCTGCACCAGGCAACAAGTTATATTCTTTACCACAGTCCATATCCAACCTGCCACACCTCACAGTGTTGAACCTATGGAAGAATACCTTCACTACATTCCCCATAGTACTGTGTGGCTTGACTAACCTTGAGGTGCTGTACCTGGGTAAAAACCAGCTATCTGACATACCAGTGGATATCACCAGGATGAAAGGGCTTAGAGTATTCAACCTCAATAGCAATGTCTTCAATACATTCCCTATAGCACTGTGTGACTTGACTAACCTAGTTGAGCTGCACCTGGTTAAAAACAAGATACCTGACATACCAGTGGATATCACCAGGATGAAAGGGCTTAAACTATTCAACCTCACTAACAATGCCTTCACTACATTCCCCATAGCACTGTGTGGCTTGACTAACCTCGAGGTGCTGTACCTGGGTAACAACCAGCTATCTGACATACCAGTTGATATCAGCAGGATGAAAGGGCTTAAAATATTCAACCTCAATAGCAATGCCTTCACTACATTCCCCATAGCACTGTGTGGCTTGACTAACCTAGAGAAGCTGTACCTATATAACAATGAGCTATCTGACATACCAGTGGATATCACCAGGATGAAGGGGCTTAAAATATTCAACCTCAATACCAATGCCTTCACTACATTCCCCATAGCACTGTGTGGCTTGACTAACCTAGAGGAGCTGAACCTGGATGACAACTACATAGCTGACATACCTGTACCTGTGGATATTACCAGGATGACAGGACTAAAGGCACTTAGACTTAAGTACAATTACATCACCCACCTGCCACCTCAGATGAGGAATATGGAAAGTCTGAGACAACTAGATGTGACACATAATACTCTGGTACAACCACCTAAACATATTGCCAACAGGGGCCTAGATGCTATCAAGAGGTATTTTGAGGCATTAACTGACACCAAGGCAATCCAGTCAAGTAGAATGCAGGTCAACTTTCTTGGTGAAACAGAAGCAGGAAAAACTAGCATTTCACGTACACTGCAACTTGGAGGGCCAACAATGATGGCAGACAGGACAAGAGTGGTGGAGCAGGGAACATGTGAGGTTGACCAAAATATTGGCTTCAATATCAATGACTTTGGTGGACATGATGTCTATAAAATAGTGCATCCCATATTTATCTCCAGTAGGGGCTTGGTTTTTATCACTTTCAATCTGTCTAAATATGATCCAGAAAAGGAGGGTCATTATCAGCTCTACATTGGAGACTGGATTGACAAGGTGCAAGCACAGATACCAGGGATACAAATAGCTCTAATTGGAACTCACCTTGATGAGGTTGAAATTCCACAAATAGAAGCAGCATGCTCTGCAATAACCAGGCAGCTTGAAGACCATGCAAGTGAAAAGAAAAAGTGGTATCAAGCACAAAAGGAGAAATGTGAGAACAAAATGAAAGAAATACCTGAAGCCCAAGCATCTCTCCACCAGGCCTACCAAAGCAAAGCAGCTCATCTGCAGAAATTGTATGATCAAATGAAACCCATTCATGAGCATATTTTTACAGTGAGTTCTTTTACCTGTGAAGGAGTGTCAGAGCTGAAAGACTACCTGGTTTCTTTTGCCAGGACAAGTGCTGAAGTTTTGCCAGGACTGTGGGTGGAAGCAGCCAAGAATATCTGCACCAAGAAAATTGAAGGTTCTGAGAACACACTTGGCTGGGAGGTGATTGAAGACCTCATTCTGCAAAATGCACCTGCATCATGGAAAAAAATGTCACTAGGAGATAAAGAGAAAATAATTTGTGACATCTTAAGTTTCCTAGCTCACCGTGGAGACATAATATGGTTTGATAGAAGCCCTTTACTGATGAAAGTTGTTTTTCACAAGCAAGAGGTTCTTGTTAATGTTCTCAAGGCAGTCCTCACACATGATAAAGGTGAAGTATCACAGAAGCTCCAGAAGTCCATGAAGATTACAAGAAAGAAAGCACCCGAAATAGAAAAAGACATCTTCAGCAGAGGAATTGTTTCTAAACAAGCTATGAGTTGCCTGTGTGAGTCTTTCAAATTGTCAAGTACTGAAGTTGATGTCATGATAGAAATGATGCTGAAACTGGAGCTGTGCTATCAAGTCCAGGAAGATGAATCCCTTCCATTCAATACCTCATTCCACTTTCCATGGCTCCTTACTGAAGAAAGACAACCTGAGCTAGACACCAAATGGCCCAGCAAGGTTCCCCCAGACACCACACAACTTACCCTGCAGGTTTTCTTTCCATACAAATGTCCAGATGGCTTATATGAGAAATTTTCTGTTCGTCAGCACAAGCACCTTGGATTCATGAAGACCATGCGAATGGACTGGAAGGATGGAGTGTATGCAGAACTTGACGGATGCAAAATGCAGCTGACACGAGAGACACACCAGTCAAATCCTGATGCAGTTAGCCAAGATCCAGACTGGGTTATCAGCATGGCTGTCCGTGGATCACATCTCTCCAACATGTGGCATGTTCTCATGCAAGGCCACAGTGACCTCGTGGACATCATTAAAGAAGACTGGCCTGGGCTGTCACATGACAAGTACCTGGTGTGTCCCCACTGTGTGAGTGAGTACAGTGAGCACCCAACCCTCTTCCCTGGAGAGATACTTGACCAAACCAGTGGAACAGCTTCAAAACCAAGACAGATGCCATGTATCAATACTGGTGTCTCCATTCCTACAGACCTAGTCTACCCACCACACCTGGTCATGAGCTGGCAGGAAGGTAAGTACAGCACTATAATAATATTACCCCAGATCTAACCCACCTGCCTGGTGGTGTTTCCAAGCCATTACAGGTACCATGTGTCAATACTGGTGTCTCCATTCCTGCAGACCTGGTCTATACCCACCATGAGCTGGCAGGAAGGTAAGCACAAAACAGCAGTATTATAGCCTTAGCCCAAAGATTCACCAGTTTCTATTTTTAATGTCTCTATTTTCAAAAGATTTGTTAATCTGCCCTCACCTGAATGTGACTTCCAAAAATATTTACTTACAAAAAGGGTGCTCCAGAGGGATGCAGAGGAGCCCCGGGGGGAGGATGTAACAGTTACAACACAAGGCCGATGATTAGGGGCAATTGACCTGGATTTACATTCCAGGACTCCCTGATGATGGTGACTGACAGTCACAGAAATATTGGAGGTAATACCCACATATTTTACAAGCTCTTGATAAAAAGAAAAACAATAATTTGGGTTTTCTTATGTTATTTTCTTCATTAAGTGCAGCATACTGGCTGTGTATAATAACATCCCCTCAATGATTGACCTCCTATATCATAGTATGTATCATCTACATGCCCTTAGTTAACATGCAAATAAGTACTATGATAGCATTATCACAAAGATTCACTTGTTTCTCTTTTTTATGTACATCTCTTCTCTAAAACATTTTGTCAAACTGCCCTCACTTGAACATGACATCCAAAAAATGCACAAAAGAGAAGAATTTCATTAAGTGAATCTGATTTTGTTAAGCATTTTGCTATAGTAGCACAGATTTCTAGAACTTAGTATTTTTGTAAAAATGTTCACATATTATCTCCATGCACTTAGTAAACATGCAAATAAGTGTTCTTACAGCAGTGGGGATTTTTTCTTTAAAGTCTTTTTGTATTTACACTTGCCTCTGCCTATGTGTTGAAGCCTTGTTATTAATTATCAACTAAAATTAATATTTTTACATACTGACTACAAGAATTCTTTTAATTTTCATTTGTGAATAATTAAAAAAAAAACAGTTTAATTGTTTTCAGTTCTACATAAAGAAATATCAAGTCTTTGTGAAAAAATCACAGAACCCTGTCTCAAGGACATGTTAAATGAGTTCCTGCAAGAAGGCATCATCACCCATCGTGAAGCTGAAATGGTGAGAGCAGAGCCTCCTCAACACCATGACCAAACCTCAACTACCAGGGTGGTATGTCCAGAGAAAACTGCTGTCTTCCTGGACATTCTAACCAGGAAACCTGACAGGGCACATGTTACACTGTGTCAATGTCTTCAGGAACAAGGACAGACTGATCTTCTTGAACTGATCCAGTAAGGGAAATTTTCCTAGTCATGCATGTCATTTCCCATTTGATTACTGTTAGCTATAGCTTTACAGGATATTGCTACTTTAGTATATTAAAAATTACGTATTTCTGACATTGTCGCATATGCCTCTATATGCATGAAGATACACTGTCACTGATATCTATTTTTCTGATCTGATGGGTCACATCCTACTAGTACCAAAAGTAGGGCCATGAGGAAGACAACTTTGATATATTTACCATGTTTAAACATTTAATGATTTAAATAAATTAAAATATAAAATACACATAACCTTTATTTGCACACAGTCATGCAATCTATTTTTCAGACCATCAGTTGAAGTGTTACTTCCTGTTACCGAAAGCACTGGCAAGTATTTGGAAAGCACAACTGTTGCTTCAGCTGAGGGCAGAGAATATGAGGTTGACACAGAAATTGCCTGTTTTTCTAGATGCATCGGGTTTTTCAGTTGTTGCAAAAGATGAAAAAGATTTTTAATCTATATTTTGAGGTTTGTTACTTAATTTTAGATTTGAAATTGTCAACATTTGGTTTATGGAAGGTCAGCTTTGAAATATATGTTTGCAGAGAACACTTTGGAGCTGATATTGAATCTAAAGTAGTAGATGTATTAAATACCTTAGTTGAGGATAGAATGGATTACTATGTCTTTGTACGTGTCATATGCTCCACGTACGGTGGAAATATTCACCAGCTGTTTCAAGAAACCACCTAGGTCAGGGGCAAAAATTGTTACAGTAAGAGTGAAGAAGATTCAAAAGTTTGTCCCCACCAAACTCCACATTTTGCCTTTTGTTTGATGCAACCAAGTGGCCCTCCCAATCAAGGTTCCAATGTACATGTATACCCTGTACACATGTACCTGCATGAATATGTTGGAAGTCATTGTTGGGAAATCAGTTATATATATAGGTGAGGTTTACATGGTTTCTTTTTGCAATATGCCACACAGATTCACGTATCTACTTTATATATGGTGGGCTTCTCCTTGCATGTGAAAGGAGCACAAACATGTATAGCATTATGTATGCTGTAGAAGGGTCTGTATATAGTTTATTGGGATCATAGACTATCTATAGTTTTTCTAGTATTTACATGATTAGCATTTAATGCCAGATTCAAAATTGTATATTAATATAAATATATTATTTCACTGATAATTTACTTTATGATACAATGTACATGTATATCATTTTGCTAAAAAATACAAGCTTTTGTTAAACACTAAGTATAGAAACTGTGTTTAACTGAAGGATTTGTGTCATACATGTTGTAGTAAACCGTTAATTAGTGCTGATAACATAAATGTGAATACATATCATTTACATATCCAAATGGATCTAAGCATGACAGTTTGCATGCGGTGAACTATTAATAGTATTGAGAGCTAATTTCCATATATGTGATCTACATAATCGTTAATGCAAATTGTACCCACAATTAAATTTTAAGGTCTTGAGGCATGGCATGTTGCATGTCAGTCCTAGAAGTTAATCTAAAATGTAAATTAAGTTCATGTATAAAAGATATAGACTTACAGACTGAGAGAGTTAGAGATAGTTATAGATACGGTAGAAGAGACCTGAGTCTTCAGGCGCTTGAATAAACCATGTAACAGAAAACTATACCTGCCTGTCTCGGCTGACTTATTGGTGAAAAAGTAACTTAAAGAAAGTGTATAACTACCGACCGGTTATTACAATGTTTAACATTAAAAATCCATCATACATGACTGTGTATTTGTTGGAGCTTGTTATGATTTTGTAAAACAAAATATGTTCATGGTAAAACCTCTCCATGATGGGGGGGGGGGGGGGGGGTATTCTTTTCATTTTTATTTACAGCTGTACAGTATAATATATTTCTCTTACAGTATTGCTAATTATAATAATTTAGCATGTATTCTGCAGTAGAAACTGCATTTTGGTAGATAACATTTTTGGTTTTAAAACGTGCATTATTTAATGAGCATGTCAGCTTAATTTTAGAGCTGATTTTCCTCTAGATTACATTTGGTCGTGGTCATGAACCAACATCTATCAATGTTGTCTGTCCTAAGGTGAGATGGATCTGGTTACTGGTCATAAAGTCAATGCATGCAGCACCCAGGTTCCTCTTTCTTGCAGCTCCATTCAGGTGCTAAAAACCCTTTGATAGTTGCTCAAATGCCGATATCAAGTCTTGCCATGAGGGGTTTGAACTGCAAGAAATGGTCACAACTATATCTACAGGTTATATAGAGCTGGCTTTGTTTGTTCTAGAAAATGGATCAAGTGAAGTGGTATTGGTTAGATTTTAGGAAAGTGTGTAAAAAAGTCCACTCCATCTGCTGTGTGAAGGTTTGGATTATGCTGTGCTAAGATGTTAACTTGTCTTTCTTTGAAATTATTTTGTAAAAAAAACTTATTTCTAAAGCCTGTTTGGTTTTCATTTATGTATTTAATTATTTATTTTGAATTCCCAAACAAAAGACAGTTCAGATGCTTTTATTTTCATAAGACTAGGTAAGTTAATGTACATCATGTCTATGGATAAGACCCAATATACATTTTATCATTAATTACCCAAAGTCATAAGTAGACTGGGATTTTTTTCACATTGTATTTGATCAACATGTATTCAGAATGGTGACAACTTAGCAAGAGCATGTCTACAGTCTTCTGTTCATCACTTTTGTTACTGGTCCACGTGTCCACTTGGTTGGTATTTATTTAAAGTCACGGATACCACTTGACCAGTGTTCTCCCCACAGGATTTGTACAGCAAGAAAATAAAGGATTTAATAAATAATTTAAAGTAAACAAACTGACTTTTTTTAAATTTTATTTTATTATTATTTTCATGGCAAATTCCATGCCCGTACAGGTTTTCTCAAAGTATAAATTTAGTTGAAGGGGCCATTCCCAGTGAAACTATTTGTCCATGGTATTCAATCCAACTTGTCAGGGACTGTTGCTGAATGCAATCAGTTGAACAGATTAATATGTCTCCTGGCATCGAGTAGAAGAAGGCATCAGAGAAGCCTGGTGCCTGGTGATAATTACACATACAGCATTTCAAAAAGTATGAAGTTTAAGCCAGTGAAAAAGAATGCTAACTGAAAAATACTTTTTAATACAGATGCTTAAATGGATAATATTAAACTCTTCGTATGAGATCTATATTTCACAATAAAAACATTGTGAACAACTCATTGAAATATAATATATATTCAGTTGTGCCACAAAAATGGCAGTTATAGCTATTATCCTGATATCTGAGCTTGTCTTTAGACCATGTGACACCCCTATATGGCTATATACTCTCTTATAATCTCTTAAGAGATTATTACAAAAAAAAAAAAAAAAAAAACAGGTGTGCTATTAAAATTTGACCCCCCCCCCAAATGTGACTCCCCAGTCAGATTTTCATTATGAAATTGCGACTCACCAGTAAAATATTCAAATGAAAATTTGACTACCCCATTAAATTTTGCCTCCCCCTCAAAACTTTATAAATCTGATTTTATTTGAGTATATGACATTTATATTGTATAATGGAGGATTTTCATGTTACAACGGTACCCGACATCACAGCACCTACCACTGCGAGATTGCTATTTGATGAAATAATATGTAAGCATGGGGTACCCAAAACACTTTTGAGTGATAGAGGCAGTAATTTTCTCTCAGACATAGTGATGGAATTAGGCAAATACACCGACATGTCAAAAATTCAAACCACTTCGTATCATCTAATGACAAACGGCCAAGTAGAGAGATTAAATGGGCTGATCATGAAAACATTGAATTTTAATTTATTAATTTAGTCAATGTGATATCGTGTATTTTGGAATTAGATTTCTCTCTGTTATAATATCTTATCACGGCAGAGAATTCCTCTATAATCTTATGGAAGAAATCTGCAGTAAAACCAAGAGTGAGAGGAAAGTGACAAGGCCTTATCACCCACAGTTTAAAAGACTAACTGGTACGTAAACTTTCAGAAAGCAGTTTATATTTCATGACAAATATACAAAACTATGTAACCATTGTACCTTTGTACATCTCTCTTGATTAACGACATGGCTTAACGTGATGCTGCTTTCGGTAATCAGTGCGACTAGACAAGGCAGTAGGAATGATCAATTTATAGCAAAATTTCTGTGCACTGAAATTTGAATTGTTTTTTATCTGTAACCATCAGATTATCATATTGGGGCCGTAGCGATAGTCCGAAGGTTCAATAGTCCGAAGGTTCATTGGTCCGAATGTTCACTATAGAACCTGTTACCACTTTTCGGACCAATGAACCTTCGGACCAATGAACCTTCGGACTATCGAGACGCCCCCATCATATTAGCCGATATACCACTACATAAAATGGTTCACAGAAAGGACAGTTCAATTAGATATTACAGAAAAGTTTGACCAAACTATCCAGTGTATGGTTGGTAAATCTACTTGGGACCCACAAGAGTGGGATCAGCTCCTAGCAGGATGCATGCTTTCCTACAGTACTTCCCAGTAAGAAAGCACCTCATGTTTTTTTTTTTTTTTTGTTTTTTTTTTTTTTTTGTTTTTTTGCATGTAAGTAAACGAGTAAGCCACCCTGAGCTTCAGAGCTGAAGCTCAGGGTGGAGTAAGCAGGCACCATGTATAAAAACAACACATGTACATGTACTGTTTATGATCTCTCTCTCTCTTTCTCTCGCTCATTCTAGTATGTTGTACATGTACATGTGTGAATGCATTTTTTTTTTGAATGATGTGGCACTCCCCAAACTAAGTGTGCAAACGAAGCCATAGGAAGCATTTCGGTACAGAAAACGAATTACGACAAATTTCGTTAAAATGAGAAATTATTTTTATTTTATACTTTATTGTAAAAAGCCACTTTTAATTTGTATTGAAAAAATACTACTTTATAATGAAATGCTAAAAAAAGTTGAAAACCATTATTAGGCAATATATCTTAAAATATCCTTTTTATTTAGAAGTTGATATTTTATTTTGGACAAAATTTAATTTTTTTACAAATTAACAGACGGAAAAAGACAGATGTTAGAAGTCCCTGTCAGTTCTATGAATTTAAAATACAATACCAATGATAAATAAACGAATGAAATTGATATTCATTGTTAGTAAATGCATGGCGGTTTGACATTTGTGTCTTTTTATGTAATATACTAATAGGCATCCCTACCACATGTTTTCATGCATTTATGAATGGGACTCTTGGTTCCAACTTGGAATCTCTGTTTTGAAAATGAGAGCCCCAGGATTCTTTGTTCAAAATCTACCGTTTGCCGGACCCTGAGATTTAAAACTTAGCGTCCTGAGGCTCCTAGTTTAAAAATGCAGTCTGTCGGACTGCTAGTTTAAAAAAAGGCCCCGACGGAGACTGACATGACTGAATATGTACTGTCGCGTCACACAGGTATACCGTTTCACGACGTTTGTACGTTTTTAGACTATATATTTAAATTGATCACCACAAGCATCATATGATGACTATAAGATCAAAATTTTTGTGTCCCATTAAAGACCCCAATACTTTCTGTTAAACCATATAATTTGCACTGATTCCCTGACTCTGAGCTGCCATTTCTTGTTCTACCATTTCTGTTCAGCAGGTTTGTGTAGAGGTTGTATACGGACAGATCTGGGTTCATTACAGAGTATGTTTTTTTTATTTATTTTGTTGCATGTATGATCAAAGAAATGGCGTGCATGAAGGTTGATGAAGAGAGTCGCGTTCTAATCACTCGCTACTGGAAGTCTCTGCATCCAGTGGCGGATTTAGGGGGGGGGGGGGGGAGGGGGGTTCAGAGGGGTTTCGACCTTCGATTTCCTAAAAAAAAAGGTGGTTCCTCTTGAAATCAGACTTTTGACAAGGTGAATCTTGGTTCTAAACCGTACGAAATGGCACCTTTCGCCCTCTCAATTACCAACACTTTTCAGAGCCATTCAGCAGTCTCCGAACCCAACGCCAAGGGAGGGGGGAGGGTCGGATTTGTATCCGCGCCCCCCCCCCCATCCTGGATCCGCCCCTGAATTCATTATGTCGCACATAAAAAAAGCACGCTAGGTGATCAACAAGACGGCGGTGATCTACAACTCACGAACTCCTGTTGACGTGGATTACTCGAAATAATGAACTAATTATTCCAATTAGCGTGACGGTTACAACGGCATGCCCTACCGTGACTCTAAGTATTCTTGTTTGCCAGCGCTCAATGCACGCTACTCGAGTGTATACCTCAAGACTTATGCAAGGCCGGCAACGTGATTCGGTAATTTCTTGCTCAGTGGCTAGAAATCGTATCTTCCAAGAAGAGTGGGAGATGTATAAATGACCAGCAAACGCTGATCTGCGTCACTTATGTGCAACGACTGCACAGAGTTTTCAAAGTCAAAAACATGATGATCATCCGCCTTGCTTTAAGCGCGCTGATAATTGTTCATCTTGCCCATGAAAATGGTCAACTTGCCGGATTAGCCCAAAAGTCGCCCAACGTTGAGATTTGGACGCTTGCAGGACTCACGGGGGACCCAGAGCGTCTACGAGATGGAGTGCAAGAGATAACCACTAAAAGGGCGCCCATTACTGAGGGAAGAATTCACAGGGGAATCACACAGGAGTCGTCCACTGATGAGGGTAGAATTCAAGAGGGAACCACAGAGAAGTCGGCGCCCACTACTGAGAGGGGAGTTCACGTCACACAAGAGATGCCAACCACTAAGGGTGGAATGCACAATGAAGTCAGTCAAAAGGATACATTTCGTGAAATATCTGATAACGGCAGCGAAACCTCTTCTTTCCCAGACGTCACTCTGACGCCGTATAGATGGCTCTGTGCAAAAAGTGGTAAACACAGCATCCAGGTCCACTGCAACTGCGATCCCGTGTGTGTCCTGTATGGTGACTGCTGTTATGGGGTGACAGAAAATGCTACTGTCTGCGCTGCCTCTGTCATATTAAGAGGGACACACGACACAATGCAATCTGCAACGGTTCCTGGAACCAACGTGACAGAAGCTCAAGGTGACAGCACCACCTCGCCTGCATCCCCAAACAAAACATCTTCGATAAGGGGGAAGAAACAAGTCGATCCTGTGTCTATTTCTCTGGCACATAAAAGCTCCTGTAGAAAAAGTCCAACATTATATCTAAGAAAACGACAAACCACACCACCCTATGTGGATAATTATGCACTGAGTTTTTGGATGGTGGACCAGTGTCCGACGTCTTGGCTGGAAGAGGAAAGTCGTATCAAGTGCACTGATACCTCAAATAGTAGCTTCACAGAAGAACCGCTATTGTACCAGCCAGTCACCGACCCAGATACGATGATCACTTTCAAGAACAAGTACTGTGCAACCTGTAATGGTATCAAGGGTGGTTGGGAACCGTGGGAACTCGCCGTCTATTCCACTAAGTACTTACCATTAGACTTCTTTGCAAATTGCAGCTCCTCGGATTGCGCGTTAAAAAGACTAAAAGATGTCGGAGGTAATGCTATTTTCGAGCCGAAACCGGAATGGAATTTAAGAACATGCTTCAAGGAAGTTGGGGACGATGTCTTTGGTCCTTGTCAGTTCAGTTTTATCAATGGAAGCGTGCGTCGTGTACCTCGTCCACTCCCCCTGCACTCAGCTTTACGAGATGCCTGTATGGCGTACAACAACCCTGTTGTCATTGGCGCTTTTGATAACAGTTACAAGAACTTCCACTGCCTGGTGTGTTATCTGGGTGATTTTCTACTCTGTGAAGGTGAGTGGTACGTTGAAATATAGCCTATATAAGAAACGTCATATGTAAACAAATTAGAACCGTGTATTATTGGCTTGAATAATTTTCAATAACCATCCTTGCCTCCTTCGTAATATCAACTAGCAGTATTGTGGAACCTAAGAAATAAAATATAATTGATCAGGAAAACATTTTTGTTTTCTAGAGGCGTAGGTTTGGCCTGTGTTCCCTAGATAAATGGTATAATTCAGTTTCGCCAATAATATCACAAAGTAAATGGCTTTATTTAATTGATATTGCCAAGATTCATTTTATGTTGTGTGATATCTTTTGAATCAGTTTATGTGTGGAAATTACATACATACCTGAAGGTAGGAGAAATATCAGTTTAAATAAGATTTCATTTATAATCCAGCAAAGGCAACTATTGATTGTATATTGACGGAAAACTAACATGAATTACTGAGAAAGTTGCGTTTATTTGTGGAGATATGAAGGAAGCCATTAGCACTCCGATATAAGGTATATTAGCTTTTGCAGCTTGGGATTGAGCGTTATGTACTACACTTGTTTTGTATAATAACGGTCAGTGTTAAGATCGAGTATCTGTTAAGTTAGACGTAAACGAGCGTGGTTTCCAATTGACGTACATAAAAAACTTTTAATAGTGTCCCAAACGACAAAAATAAAATCGATATGCCAAGGGATAAATAATAATAATAATAATAATAATAATATTTATTTATTTATAGTCTAAAATCCATATATAAAATGTTCAGTAGACTTTACATGGGTAAAATGAACAGAATCAGATGACTAAAATAAATGAAAAGGTAGTTAAAATTATAAGTTATGAACTAAAGATGTGAACTAAAATGTAATTGAATTGATAAGATATCAAAAATAAACTGTACAGTGTAAAAGACAACAGCTAGTCAAATCAATTGTAAAACTTTTTGAAGATATAAGTTTTTAATTCTTTTTTAAAATTGTCCTCAGACTATTGTTTTAAAATAAATAGGGAGATCGTTCCACTCAATTGGCCCATAGACCTGCAGAGCAACATCACCGTACGCTCTTAATCTGGAATTACAAGGCGTTAAATCGATCCGATCACTCCAAAAAGCATGGAACGATGTCCTTTGGACTCTGTAGTGGCCGTACTATTTGAAAGCCTACGGTGGCGTATTTCAGGTTTTGAGTTAAAACCACGGACTTTAAATGTGCCTGTAGATGGGAGTATGTTTTTTAACATCAAAAATGGCAGAATTTTGTTATTCAAAAAAGGGGTTAAATGTCTCACACGCGTTTTTGGTTTGCTAGGGAGTAATTAACTAATTAAATTGCTACTCAAGGAGGCGTGTCAGACAGTTAAGATGATTACACAGATTGCATTTTAGCAGCTCGATCCATCTGGTACGATATTTCAATCTAAAAGTTGTGTAAACTACAACTACAAAAACCAGGCCGGTTGAAGAACACGTAGCTGTTCTTGTTTGCCGAGCTTATTAATTCACTAAATTAAATGTTATCTTTATTTAGATCAGAATTCCACACCGCCACCAGTAAGATTCTTCGGTCTTTCTCTCCGCGCCCTGTTGTACCTGGGAGACCAAGGCAAGGAACAGAGTGATGACGTCATGACTAGGGTGAGAAAAAGAACTGCAGTAGTCATAAATAATGAGGGTGATGATTAAAATTGCATTTAGATAAAAGATTGTAAATTATTACTTCATTTATTCTTTCCCTCATTTTTCATGTTAATATTCTGATGTAATTATTGTCAGAAGTTTTTTCTCGACTTAATGGATGTTAACTGCTGCCCTGAGCCGTATGGCGTAAAACCTTGCATGTACCGGGTATATACAATGTACATCTTCACACGTGTGTTTTTTCCAGCCAGTAGATCAGGAGGTAGTGTGCCCCCCTGGTTTTGTTCCTGGTGTACAGGACTGCCGCCCCCTTCTGTACAATTTCACGGTAATGCGGTCACTCGTTCTCTTACATTTTGAACCGTGTGGCTGGGTTCCAACTCCTAGAGATGGCTGTGGAGATATCATACGAGATGGTCGACTGGGAGCTGTAGTAAGAGCTTCACAGGCACAGGCTTTTACCTGTGGTCAGAAACGCGACGCGGATAACACGTCCATCATCTTTGTCCTTGGAACAATGGTCACTCTACGCGTGAGACTAGCCGACTACGAGGAAGGTCGCAACATGTTCGACCAAGTACAAGCATGGATGGAAAACGCTCTGCAAAACGTGCAGTTGAAGATATCCGGAGAACCAGTGGGTATACGCTCAGGATCGTTCTCTGCCTGCATGAAGAACGCCACGATCCACAGCTCCGTGCCGCCATTTTATGGAGCCACCACGCTGTCAACCCCGAAGCAGAGCCAAGGAAACAGTCCTGTCGGTAACGTTACACTTTTGATGTTACTTTGAGGATTCATGTTGATTCACCGTATAGATCTTGGTAATAATAGAACTATAAATATTTTGATGCATCTAGAAAGATCTACATAATAGTTGTTGAATACAGTCCGAGCTTTCGGCCCCTGGGCCTTCTTCACCGAATGAGGTAATAATAGAACTATAAATATTTTGATGCATCTAGTTGTTGAATACAGTCCGAGCTTTCGGCCCCTGGGCCTTCTTCACCGAATGAGGTAATAATAGAACTATAAATATTTTGATGCATCTAGAAAGATCTACATAATAGTTGTTGAATACAGTCCGAGCTTTCGGCCCCTGGGCCTTCTTCACCGAATGANGAATTAATAAATAATTTAAACTATACAAACTGACTTGAGTTTTTTTTTTTCATGGCAAATTCCATGTACGTACAGGTTTTGTTAAAGTAAAAATATAGTTGAAGGGCACATTCCCAGTGAAACTACCAGTCCATGTTGTTCAATCAAACTTGTTGGGGACTGTTGCTGAATGCAATCAGTTGAACAGATTAACATGTCTCCTGGCATTGAGTAGAACACAGGGAAGCTCCATATGGTGATAATTACACATACAGCTTTTCTAAAAGTATGAAGTTTAAGCCAGTGAAAACGAATGCTACCTGAAAAATAGAAAGGCACTTTTTAATACAGATGCTTAAATGGATAATATTAAACTCTTCGTATGAGATCTATATTTCACAAGAAAAACATTGTGAACAACTCATTGAAATATAATATATTCAGTTGTGCCACAAAAATGGCAGTTATAGCTATTATCCTGATATCTGAGCTTGTCCTTAGACCATGTGACACCCCTATATGGCTATATACTCTCTTATAATCTCTTAAGATACTATTACAAAAAAAAAATCAGGTGTGCTATAAAAATTTGACCCCCCCAAAATGTGACTCCCCAGTCAGATTTTCATTATGAAATTGTGACTCACCAGTAAAATATTCAAATGAAAATGTGACTACCCCATGAAATTTTGACTCCCCCCACAAAACTTTATAAATCAGATTTTATTTGAGTATATGACATTTATATTGTATAATGGAGGATTTTCATGTTACAACGGTACCCGACATCACAGCACCTACCACTGCGAGATTGCTATTTGATGAAATAATATGTAAGCATGGGGTACCCAAAACACTTTTGAGTGATAGAGGCAGTAATTTTCTCTCAGACATAGTGATGGAATTAGGCAAATACACCGACATGTCAAAAATTCAAACCACTTCGTATCATCTAATGACAAACGGCCAAGTAGAGAGATTAAATGGGCTGATCATGAAAACATTGAATTTTAATTTATTAATTTAGTCAATGTGATATCGTGTATTTTGGAATTAGATTTCTCTCTGTTATAATATCTTATCACGGCAGAGAATTCCTCTATAATCTTATGGAAGAAATCTGCAGTAAAACCAAGAGTGAGAGGAAAGTGACAAGGCCTTATCACCCACAGTCTAATAGACTAACTGGTACGTAAACTTTCAGAAAGCAGTTTATATTTCATGACAAATATACAAAACTATGTAACCATTGTACCTTTGTACATCTCTCTTGATTAACGACATGGCTTAACGTGATGCTGCTTTCGGTAATCAGTGCGACTAGACAAGGCAGTAGGAATGATCAATTTATAGCAAAATTTCTGTGCACTGAAATTTGAATTGTTTTTTATCTGTAACCATCAGATTATCATATTAGCCGATATACCACCACATAAAATGGTTCACAGAAAGGACAGTTCAATTAGATATTACAGTAAAGTATGACCAAACTATCCAGTGTATGGTTGGTAAATCTACTTGGGACCCACAAGAGTGGGATCAGGTCCTAGCAGGATGCATGCTTTCCTACAACACTTCCCAGCAAGAAAGCACCTCAAACTATTTTTTTTTTTTTGCCATGTAAGTAAACGAGTTTTATAGAAACAAAACGTATATTGTTTATGCTCTCTCTCTCTCTCATTCTAGTATGTTTTACATGTACATGCGTGAGTGCATTTTTTTTTTTTTTTTTTTTTTTTTTTTTTTTTTTGAGTCCCCAAACTAAGTGTGCAAACGAAGCCATAGGAAGCATTTCGGTACAGAAAACGAATTACGACAAATTTCGTTCAAATGAGAAATTATTTTTTATTTTATACTTTATTGTAAAAAGCCACATTTAATTTGTATTGAAAAAATACAACTTTATAATGAAATGCTAAAAAAGTTGAGAGCCATTATTAGGCAATATATCTTAAAATATCCTTTTTTTTAGAAGTTGATATTTTATTTTGGACAAAATTTAATTTTTTTATAAATTAACAGACGGAAAAAGACAGATGTTAGAAGTCCCTGTCAGTTCTATGAATTTAAAATACAATATCAATGATAAATAAACGAATGAAATTGATATTCATTGTTAGTAAATGCATGGCTGTTTGACATTTGTGTCTTTTTATGTAATATACTAATAGGCATCCCTACCACATGTTTTCATGAATGGGACTCTTGCACCCCATTTCCATAGATTTTTAGATCGAACTATCCCTGTGGGGAGTCTCACTAGATTACTGTCAGCTTGGCCGGCTTAAGCTTCTGTCCCGCCTACTAAAAGCTGTAAGGGGGTAATTAACTATGGTGCGCGCTCGTCTGACTGAAATTTAGCGTGAACCCCCAGGGAGTTAGGTCGATCTAAATTTTAATCCCTGGATCGATCTAAATCTCTGGAAATACACCCTTGGTTCCAACTTGGAATCTCTGTTTTGAAAATGAGAGTCCCAGGATTCTTTGTTCAAAATCTACTGTCCGCCGGACCCTGAGATTTAAAACTTAGCGTCCTGAGGCTCCTAGTTTAAAAATGCAGTCTGTCGGACTGCTAGTTTAAAAAAAGGTCCCGACGGAGACTGACCTGACTGTATATGTACTGTCGCGACGCACAGGTATTCCGTTTTACGACGTTTGTACGTTTTTAGACTATATATTTAAATTGATCACCACAAGCATCATATGATGACTATAAGATCAAAACTTTTTGTGTCCCATTAAAGACCCCAATACTTTCTGTTAGACCATATAATTTGCACTGACTCCACGGGACTCTGAGCTGCCATTTCTTGTTCTACCATTTCTGTTCAGCAGGTTTGTGTAGAGGTTGTATACGGACAGGTCTGGGTTCATTACAGAGTATGTTTTTTTTTATTTATTTTGTTGCATGTATGATCAAAGAAATGGCGTGCATGAAGGTTGATGAAGAGAGTCGCGTTCTAATCACTCGCTACTGGAAGTCTGGTTCAGAGGGGTTTCGACCTTCGATTTCCTAAAAAAGTGGTTCCTCTTGAAATCAGACTTTTGACAAGGTGAATCATGGTTCTAAACCGTACCAAATGGCACCTTTCGCCCTCTCAATTACCAACATTTTTCAGAGCCATTCAGCAGTCTCCGAACCCAACGCCAAGGGAGGGGGGAGGGTCGGATTTGTATCCGCGGACCCCCCATCCTGGATCCGCCCCTGAATTCATTATGTCGCACATAAAAAAAGCACACTAGGTGATCAACAAGACGGCGGTGATCTCCAACTCACGAACTCCTGTTGACGTGGATTACTCGAAATAATGAACTAATTATTCCAATTAGCGTGACGGTTACAACGGCATGCCCTACCGTGACTCTAAGTATTCTTGTTTGCCAGCGCTCAATGCACGCTACTCGAGTGTATACCTCAAGACTTATGCAAGGCCGGCAACGTGATTCAGTAATTTCTTGCTCAGTGGCTAGAAATCGTATCTTCCAAGAAGAGTGGGAGATGTATAAATGACCAGCAAACGCTGATCTGCGTCACTTATGTGCAACGACTGCACAGAGTTTTCAAAGTCAAAAACATGATGATCATCCGCCTTGCTTTAAGCGCGCTGATAATTGTTCATCTTGCCCATGAAAATGGTCAACTTGCCGGATTAGCCCAAAAGTCGCCCAACGTTGAGATTTGGACGCTTGCAGGACTCACGGGGGAGCCAAAGCGTCTACGAGATGGAGTGCAAGAGATAACCACTAAAAGGGCGCCCATTACTGAGGGAAGAATTCACAGGGGAATCACACAGGAGTCGTCCACTGATGAGGGTAGAATTCAAGAGGGAACCACAGAGAAGTCGGCGCCCACTACTGAGAGGGGAGTTCACGTCACACAAGAGATGCCAACCACTAAGGGTGGAATGCACAATGAAGTCAGTCAAAAGGATACATTTCGTGAAATATCTGATAACGGCAGCGAAACCTCTTCTTTCCCAGACGTCACTCTGACGCCGTATAGATGGCTCTGTGCAAAAAGTGGTAAATACAGCATCCAGGTCCACTGCAACTGCGATCCCGTGTGTGTCCTGTATGGTGACTGCTGTTATGGGGTGACAGAAAATGCACCACCTCGACTGCATCCCCAAACAAAACATCTTCGATAAGGGGGAAAAAACAAGTCGATCCTGTGTCTTTTTCTCTGGCACATAAAAGCTCCTGTAGAAAAAGTCCAACATTATATCTAAGAAAACGACAAACCACACCACCCTATGTGGATAATTATGCACTGAGTTTTTGGATGGTGGACCAGTGTCCCAAGTCTTGGCTGGAAGAGGAAAGTCGTATTAAGTGCACTGATACCTCAAATAGTAGCTTCACAGAAGAACCGCTATTGTACCAGCCAGTCACCGACCCAGATACAATGATCACTTTCAAGAACAAGTACTGTGCAACCTGTAATGGTATCAAGGGTGGTTGGGAACCGTGGGAACTCGCCGTCTATTCCACTAAGTACTTACCATTAGACTTCTTTGCAAATTGCAGCTCCTCGGATTGCGCGTTAAAGAGACTAAAAGATGTCGGAGGTAATGCTATTTTCGAGCCGAAACCGGAATGGAATTTAAGAACATGCTTCAAGGAAGTTGGGGACGATGTCTTTGGTCCTTGTCAGTTCAGTTTTATCAATGGAAGCGTGCGTCGTGTACCTCGTCCACTCCCCCTGCACTCAGCTTTACGAGATGCCTGTATGACGTACAACAACCTGTTGTCATTGGCGCTTTTGATAACAGTTACAAGAACTTCCACTGCCTGGTGTGTTATCTGGGTGATTTTCTACTCTGTGAAGGTGAGTGGTACGTTGAAATATATAAGACGTCATATGTAAACAAATTAGAACCGTGTATTATTGGCGTGAATAATTTTCAATAACCATCCTTGCCTCCTTCGTAATATCAACTAGTAGGATTGTGGAACCTAAGAAATAAAATATACTTGATCAGGAAAACATTTTTGTTTTCTAGAGGCGTAGGTTTGGCCTGTGTTCCCTAGATAAATGGTATAATTCAGTTTCGCCAATAATATCACAAAGAAAATGGCTAAATATAATTGATATTGCCAAGATTTATTTTTATGTTGTGTGATATCTTTTGAATCGGTTTATGTGTGGTAATGACATACATACCTGAAGGTAGGAGAAATATCAGTTCAAATAAGTTTTCATTTATAATCCAGCAAAGGCAACTATTGATTGTATATTGACGGAAAACTGACATGAATTACTGAGAAAGTTGCGTTTATTTGTGGAGATATGAAGGAAGCCATTAGCACTCCGATATAAGGTATATTAGCTTTTGCAGCTTGGGATTGAGCGTTATGTACTACACTTGTTTTGTATAATAGCAGTCAGTGTTAAGATCGAGTATCTGTTAAGTTAGACGTAAACGAGCGTGGATTCCAATTGGCGTACATAAAAAAACTTTTAATAGTGTCCCAAACGACAAAAATAAAATCGATATGCCAAGGGATAAATAATAATAATAATAATAATAATAATAATAATAATATGTATTTATTTATAGTCTAAAATCCATATATAAAATGTTCAGTAGACTTTACATGGGTAAAATGAACAGAATCAGATGACTAAAATAAATGAAAAGGTAGTAAAAATTATAAGTTATGAACTAAAGATGTGAACTAAAATGTAATTGAATTGATAAGATATCAAAAATAAACTGTACAGTGTAAAAGACAACAGCCAGTCAAATCAATTGTAAAACTTTTTGAAGATATAAGTTTTTAATTCTTTTTTAAAATTGTCCTCAGACTATTGTTTTAAAATAAATAGGGAGATCGTTCCACTCAATTGGCCCATAGACCTGCAGAGCAACATCACCGTACGCTCTTAATCTGGAATTACAAGGCGTTAAATCGATCCGATCACTCCAAAAAGCATGGAACGATGTCCTTTGGACTCTGTAGTGGCCGTACTATTTGAAAGCCTACGGTGGCGTATTTCAGGTTTTGAGTTAAAACCACGGACTTTAAATGTGCCTGTAGATGGGAGTATATTTTTGATCATCAAAAATGGCAGAATTTTGTTATTCAAAAAAGGGGTTAAATGTCTCACACGCGTTTTTGGTTTGCTAGGGAGTAATTAACTAATTAAATTGCTACTCAAGGAGGCGTCTTAGACAGTTAAGATGATTACACTGAATGCATTTTAGCAGCTCGATCCATCTGGTACGATATTTCAATCTAAAAGTTGTGTAAACTACGACTACAAAAACCAGGCCGGTTGAAGAACACGTAGCTGTTCTTGTTTGCCGAGCTTATTAATTCACTAAATTAAATGTTATCTTTATTTAGATCAGAATTCCACACCGCCACCAGTCAGATTCTTCGGTCTCTCTCTCCGCGCCCTGTTGTACCTGGGAGACCAAGACGGGAAACAGAGTGATGACGTCATGACTAGGGTGAGAAAAAGAACTGCAGTAGTCATAAATAATGAGGATGATGATTAAAATTGCATTTAGATAAAAGATTGTAAATTATTACTTCATTTATTCTTTCCCTCATTTTTCATGTTAAAATTCTGATGTAATTATTGTCAGAAGTTTTTTTCTCGACTTAATGGATGTTAACTGCTGCCCTGAGCCGTATGGCGTAAAACCTTGCATGTACCGGGTATATACAACGTACATCTTCACACGTGTGTTTTTTCCAGCCAGTAGATCAGGAGGTAGTGTGCCCCCCTGGTTTTGTTCCTGGTGTACAGGACTGCCGCCCCCTTCTGTACAATTTCACGGTAATGCGGTCACTCGTTCTCTTACATTTTGAACCGTGTGGCTGGGTTCCAACTCCTAGAGATGGCTGTGGTGATATCATACGAGATGGTCGACTGGGAGCTGTAGTAAGAGCTGCACAGGCACAGGCTTTTACCTGTGGTCAGAAACGCGACGCGGATAACACGTCCATCATCTTTGTCCTTGGAACAATGGTCACTCTACGCGTGAGACTAGCCGACTACGAGGAAGGTCGCAACATGTTCGACCAAGTACAAGCATGGATGGAAAACGCTCTGCAAAACGTGCAGTTGAAGATATCCGGAGAACCAGTGGGTATACGCTCAGGATCGTTCTCTGCCTGCATGAAGAACGCCACGATCCACAGCTCCGTGCCGCCATTTTATGGAGCCACCACGCTGTCAACCCCGAAGCAGAGCCAAGGAAACAGTCTTGTCGGTAACGTTACACTTTTGATGTTAGTGGCGCTGGTGGCAGCGGTGTGGGATATCTAACTATGGGTTAGATCATATAAGAATGATATAGGATTGGGCACTACTTTGACTTATCAATCTATAGACGGATATCTAAGATTTTTCATTGTTGTTTTGTAATTTATCGTTTTTAGTTATTATCAAGTTTTAAAAACAGTTACAGTTTTACGATTCAGCAAATTTATTCTGAAATAGTTTTGTGGACGTCATGACCCCCGCCAACGAGCTTCCGTTTTGCCCTTGATTTGTTTTCAAGTTAACAGCCTAACTCAAAAAGTTATGGACCCATTTTGATAAACTGTTTAGGATAAGTCAGAAATGGACCCGCTTAGAAGCGATTACATTTTGGTGGCGGTTCTTTGTTTGATTAATGAATATTGAGAAGTGATCCGCATTTGGCGGTGGAGTATTGCGGGGGTTTTGAGTGCTCTTTAGTTTGGGTTATCATGACGCTTTATTCTGTATTCAATGAGAATAATTCGTGCATGCAGCAGACTAGAGTTATATACAGTACAAGAGACCATACCAAAGTTCTAACATAAGAGTCTTGTTTGACAGTACAGATATGTGTATAAAACTGGCAAGAGTGAATTTCTAGTGAAATATCAATTTTTGGTCCTGATAGAGAGTAAAGGATTATAGCTTTGGTTCTCTTTTTGATTCACTGCTAAAACAGTCACAGGTCTTGTGCTAGTAGTGTATGTTTGGTATTATAAATGTAAATTCATCTTTGTGAGATAGTTAAACTATATAGCATGATTTTCTTCATAATTAAGTAATTTGCTATCAATTTGATGAATAAAAATTAGACGACTTAGAGGTCGATAATTTGCAAAAGGCAATGCATTAATTCCATGTACATGTAATTATGCATTCTTCTCAATTTTTTCGGAAACTGAACAAATTGCATGAATTTATTGCATCATCCCAAGAACATTGTGTATGGATTTATGATTAATCGATTATTTGATGATTGGTGTAAGGTACATTTCAGGTTATCTCGATTACATTATTTTATTTAAGTTAAGCGTAAATTATAGTAGGAGAATATTTTTACAAATCCTGGATTACATTGGCCTCATTGGTATACGATTTTCCGTGCAATTTTTTGACGTCATTAATGGCTACGGCGAAAATTTTACTTTACGCGCGAGAGCCGTGCCTTTTTTCCGACATGACCTTGAGGTCAAGTAAAAAAAAATTCGGCTGAAAAATGAGGACACGAAGCCCTTTCAGTGTCAGCGCAGTTGCCGAACGCCTTTCCTTGAAGATTGATACGTTGTCAGTGCACGATTTTTAGCACCCATGGTCAGAATAAAGAAGCACAGCACTTCTTTTTT